ATGAATTAAATTTAAAAGCTGAATCTTATCAGGTGATAACTCCAATAGTCCTCTGTAAGGAAGCCTTCATATATATTTAAAGTCAGGATTTTGCCTGAGAAAAGTTATGTTTTCATACTTTCCACAACCGCACAAGTCCTTAGCCTATTCTTAGTGAGACAGAACTGCCACCATTATTTAGGGGCTCCCTGAAGATTGCAGGGTATGGTCCATATTCTGTAGCACTAATTAGACAAGATGAGCTAATGTGCTTACTGAGTGGTGACCTTTCTTACGAAGTTCTTGGAGGAAATGTTGTAACAGGTTTATTTTTATGACATCTTTCAGACTGACATTTGTATTCTTTATATATGCACATGTACATACGAACGTGCACTCGCACACGTGTTTCCTGAGGACTGTTTGCATAGTTAAGAAACATGTTTGTTACCCTAAAGTAGTTGTATTTTTATCTTTTGCGTTATTCAAATACTCTGAAAAACGGTTTAAATTCAAGTATTAAAAATATTTCTGTTGTTAATATGAAAAGTATATCAGGGTTTATGGTATTCCAAAGAATCAAGTGCAGTTTTCTGCCAGAAAAACCTTTTCAGGTCTTTATGCAAATGACTTAGTAAAAACTGGGCACCAAAGCAGGGTCAGTTGTAGAAGGTATACCTTAGGCTATCTGACTTTCCTTTCTCCATTTATTAAACACCTCAGAGAGGTGTTCTGGATACAGTGCAAAGATTGTGCAGTAACAGGATACTGTAAAATGAGGACCCTGCAAGAACACTGAAAATAGGTCACAACAAAAATTTCCAAAAATTTGCAGCCAGACATTTCTGTGGTAATCTCATCATGGTTTTGTTCCTTTCCATGAAACACAAGGAGAGGTGACCTACTCTGTGCACAGGATTTTCATGCTCCTTTTTAAACATGCAGGATGTATCTGCCTTAGGGGTGATAGGACAGGGGATTCATCTCATTACTGATTCCAAATGCAATCAGTAGACAACTTGCTGCTTTAATTTCTGAGGACTTATTCTCATAGTTATGGTTGTAGTTAAGCTTATCATGTGATCATTTAGAAAAAAAGGTGAATAGTTGTTTTTCCTCTAGTATATCTACCCATTGGCAATGAGTAGTTAGGATTAAAAGCTCCATCTAGCCCAAGGCTATAATGAATATTCAGGAAAAATGATTCTGTACTGCTGCTTAGGGAAGTAAAAAGACAACCCCTGTAACATTCAAATCTCCTGTGCCTTTGGAATAAACAAGCAATATTTGATTAAGAACAGGAAGACAGAAGACACACTGATGTACATCTCATACCAAAAGAGACTCTATATGGTATTAAATTACCAACAGATTCCTGTAGGTACAGCGCATGAATCAATATTATGTTTTAGCTGATGATAATTTCACCAAGCTTCTATTTAGATGGGTTTTGTTTAAAAAAAGTAAAAATACATCAGATAAATGAAGTGTGCTAGCAATGGATGTTACAGTCCATTGAAGCATTTGTTCATTCTTCTGGATTGACACACAGAGCAAAATTATACATTCTGTAACAATCGCAATGTGTCATTATTAATGAGAGAACCAACAAACCTAGTTATGTGTAATGAAAGAAGATAATTTATAGCAACATGGCAGACTCTGAACCTTAAGCATTAAAGTCCTGTACTGCATTAAGCAGAATAATATTTTATTTAGTTCATATTGTTGATTTTCCGAGTACAAATGCCCAGCTGTTTTTACAGCTAAGAACATTTTGCATATCAAGCCATTTAGAAAATATTTCATAACTATGCAGGCTTAGCCAACCACTTTATCAATGATAAAAGCTGCAGGCACTTTCATAAAGTTGGACTGGGTAAAAAAAGATATTTATGTTATACTTGCAGTGACAGGTATTTTTTATAATGTGATTTACAGGCCTTGAGATTAATTTGTTTGCAAGTTATATGCTCATCCTCAAATGTTTTATAAATCCAATCTCTGCTAGGAATCGGTGAAAGCAATTTGTAAATTGGGGTCAGTCTTTCAGAAATCCAAGTAGGTGGGAGACCCTCAATCAGCCAAATGAATTAGACAAAATGAAGCCTGTACATAGCCTCTTCAAAACTAGTTTTTGGCATCATGCCGCTCACTTTGCACCTGATTATAAAACCTTGCTGAACATGAGAAATTAATATTCTCAGAAATCTGAAGTTTGGAACTGCATTTGTTTAGTCAATGATTGCATTTCAAAATTAATTCTCTATTTCTAATTATGTTAATGTTTCTCAAAATTTGTGTTCTTGTGTGACTTCTGCAAATTGTTCATAGTGTAAAGCAAACTTCTGTGTATCATCTGGATGGTCCAGTACAGCTCCACTGTAGGACTTGCACTGAAAGGTGGGATACATTGTGTGTGTGTGCGCGCACATGTGTGTTTTAGGGATGGCACAAGGGTAAACAGCATTTTTGTTTGAGTTAGCCACCACTAGGAGTAGCACCAGAGGAGCCAGAGAGGAACCCTTTGTAAGGAACTGCAGTGGGTAATGGATTCAGATTGGAGGAGGTATTAGGAAACAGACTTTTCCTGTGAGGGTGGTGAGACACTGGCACAGGTTGCCCAGGGAGGTAGTGGATGACCCAACCCTGGCAGTGTTCAAGGCCAGGGTGGATGAGGCCTTGAGCAGCCTGGTCTAGTGGGGGAGGTGTCCCTGCCCATGGCAGGAGGGGTTGGGACTAGATGATCTGTAAGGTCCATTCCAACCCCTAAAATACTGTGATTATATGATGCTATAACTGTCTTTATATGATATTTATTTAATGAGTAAATTAATTAGATAAATTATTAAAGGGAGGGGAAATCACCTTGAGAAATACCTGTTTCAGTCCAAAACTGTCAGATTTAATGGAAATTCTAATTTTTTGCATAAAATTCATCACCTTTCCAATTCCTATCCATGACTGTCTCACTATGCAACAAAGCACTGTCCTAACTTTTGTTTCATTTTTCCATGTTTCCTTACTAAACATTCCTATTTATTCTTTGGAATATTAAGTGAAGTAGTGTCAAAAATTTCACCTCCTTCATTTGAATTTTCAAATTATTTTTCTATGAAGTTACCTGTGGTTTTTTGGGTACCAAAAATGGGCAGGTTTCCAAGGCTGATACAAGTGAGCCTTTCAAAAGGGCTTTGTCTACATATGCTACACAATCAGATATTTAATCTGTTTACTGGATTGAGAAATGGAAGAACATTCCATTGCATTCATTGCATTAATCTTGGTGTAGGAGAAGCAGAACTGATTGAAAATAAAGATCTTTACTTAATTTTGGAAAAAAAAAAGAAGAAGTCAATTATTATTTATTAAGAAAGACAAACTACTTAAATTGTCTCAGGTAGGATGAAAATTGGATTTGTATGAAAGGCATCTCCCAACAAGTTATTCAATGTGGATTAAAATAATTGTATTTTTTAAAGTGCTAGTGTGTGTTGGAGTAAGAATTTTTATGGCAGCACTACAAGCCCAACAAAGTCAGCATAATGAGTTATGTGGTGCCAGCGTCCTGAACATTATTACAAGGATTTCTAAGGAGTAGAATTAACATAAAGGATATACAATTCATGTCTTCTAGAGGGTCTCTCATTTCTGCATTGGGCCTCAAGGAAATTCAAAACAGAAATGAAAGTCAAAGATGCAACTACTTTCACACTGCCGGTGCAGTGTTCATACATATTTCATGGAAGCTGCATGGGCGGGGAGAGCACCCTTCTTATTGGAATGGCAAAGCTAAGTCTCAAGGCTTTACTATTCATGTCAAGCACTGTGTACTTTCTAGGAACATAGCCTGCGGGTTTGTTTTTTTTTTTGTTTGTTTGTTTGTTTGTATTTAACCATTGGTGTAAAAAGAAAAAAAAACAACAAGGGGTTATTTCCTGTTTGTTCACTAGACTGGCAACCTACATGTCCACTGGATTGTTTTAAACTAAACTTCATTAAAGTCTTATCCCATTCTCAGTTACTACATAGCAATGCAGCTTTCTGAGGTTTTACAATATCCAAATGGGAGAAAATTATTCATATATGACGGATTTAATTATCTGAAAGTGATAAAGACTCAGTAAATGTAAATAATTGCTGCAGTACCAATTAGCCTACCCACAGGTTATACTTTTACTAAATCTTGTAATAGCACCATTCCATTTTTAATCAAATCATGCACCACATTCTACATGCATCTACTGCAAATTTTAAGGTATTTGCTGAAGAGCATTACCAATAGCCAACAGAAAAAAAACAACCCATACCCAAGAGTTATATTGAAAAATAAGCATTATATGTGCCAGACACAGATGTTAGTTCCATTGAACTGTTCTCAATGGAAAGGATAGTTGATTACTGTCTACATGAGATGTATTCCATAAGGGAAGTAAATGACTGGAAATCAGGAAAAGCCAACACTTGGAAGATTTTTATTTCAATCTTTAACAGAGAAGATTTCAATCTTTCATTTATGCTATGGCCATCCCAAGTTATTCTAGAGTTCAGAAATGCTGAATTGAATCCTGATAGGCCTGCAACCTTGATTCATCCTTGTTCTGATCAAGGCAATGCTTCAGGATCATATTATTTTAAAAGGTACTGCTTATTTTTAATACACCTTACATAGAGTAAGTCATTAAAACTGAAAAGTAATTTTTAGAATAAATTAGTTAAGAAAGTCTCTGTCATCAAAAATGGTATTTTCCCCTCTCTGGGAAGGGAACATTTTGTGATATCTTTGTCTTTCGGAAAAAGAGTAATTTCCTTTCTTCATGAACTAACCTTTCTGTAGTGGATTTGCAGTTACTTGATGTGTCTGAAATAAGTTAACTAATGAGATAAAATTCAGTTCTGATGTGCAATTTCACAAAATTGTAGTATAGCCACTTAGAGCAAAGTTTTATATTTCCTTTTTTATACCTTTTATTCATACTACTTTTAATTATGTTCTATGTTTATCTGACCTATTTGAACAGGATCCAGAGCTGGTACGGAACATCTGTCGTTGGGTTAGACAAGCTGTTCAGATTCCTTTCTTTGCCAAGCTGACCCCAAATGTCACTGATATTGTGAAAATTGCAATGGCTGCGCAGGAAGGTGAGTGACTGCAGTGCACATGCTGTGCAGATTTACTAATTTGCTGGATGGGATAAGATAGTTGTGTTGCTGGAAAAACAGATAACAACAGAAATGAATATGAAAATAGTTTTATGGATTTAGAATAAAAACAGCGATGAAAGGTTTCCTAATTTTGTCCATACATATAGAATATAGCAATATATAGAGAGAACTACGTTAGATTGTTAAAAATAAATGGTGTCTGTGTGTGTTTCTCTGCACACTCTTATTTCTGTCATATTTATATGTTTGCCATACCACTGTAAATTCCTTTTCTCCCGTATTTAGTAGTGAAAATGGTATGCATGTCCTGAGAAAACAAAAATACACCATCTGAAGGTTTGGTTTGGGTTTTTTTCCTTAGAGTTCAAAGTACAACATGGCAGGAAATAAGTTTACGAGTAGGTGTGTTAATCCATCACTTAGAACCATGGTAATTGTTTCTCTGTGACCTTGCTCGTTTTGTCTTGCTGCTCAGAAGCTTGGAGGAGGTGACCCCTGTGCTAGGGTACCTCTAGGTGTTGAATAAGCACTGTAGCAAGTTCTGTCCCACACAGCTGAAGGGCAGAGACCTGCCTGTCAGCCCCAGTGTTTTGCACATGCTCTTACAGCCCTTACAGCTCTTCAACTGATGCAGCCTGCCTTGAAGCTAGTGCTAAATTTATCAGCCCAGGGTTGGTCTTATGGATCCTTCTGCACATTCCCTTGCAGTTTATTGCTTTTGCTCTTCAGCTGTTTATGTGAATTTCTAGTTATTTCAGAGTTTCACGTTTTCCGTTCCATTTTTTCCTCTCTTGTTCTTATACATGATTTAACAAAAAGCAACTGACCTTTTCTTTCACAGGTGGTGCAGATGGTGTTACAGCCACCAACACTGTGTCAGGACTGATGGGACTGAAAGCAGACAGCACACCTTGGCCAGCAGTTGGTAGAGGACTTAGGACCACATATGGTGGCATGTCAGGTAGGTGTTGCCCTTTTTGATGCATGCTACTTCCTTGGAGGCTTTCAAAACATCAGGAGGTCCTTGTAGTGGGCTAGAATATCATGTCTGCAGTCACGCCGAGTCCTTAAAGCTCACTGCTGGTCAATGTTTCTAAGTCATGACAGATGGAACAGATTAAGTGTGAAGGCTCTTGGGTTGCCCTTTCCTTAATGGTAAAATGCTGCATCAGAATACTGTGATAGGGTCACTGGAGAGGGAAGGAAATCTCTTCCCTCGTGACCCTCGCTTTTCCTCAAATTTTTCATCCTGTCACAATTGTCAGGCCCCACATCAGACAGAGGCTAATGAAAGGGCGTCGCAGGGGGAAATATCAACAATCCAAATGCAGTGTATGTTTCGCAGCCCGATCTCCAGCCTTCCTCCCTCCTTCCCACTGAGTGCACCTCTTCCAGGGAGATTATTTCCTCCTCCTCCCACTCTGGTAAAAAGGATAGATGGTTATTAGGCAAATATATGCATATTTTTGTAGCCTTATTCCCCAAGATATCGAAAAATATCGTGTGTAGACCATATTTGCAAGTCCTGCCTCACAGTTTAATTTTCAAACCAGCAGCAAAACTTTTACACTCCAGTTCAGTGCCTGTGCACAGTAATGTATTAATCTATTGACCCTGTGCACTCTGTTGCTGTGACAACATGAACTTGGCCCTGCAAAGACAATACTGTGAGCTTCTTAACTTTACTGGTATGGAGATTAGTCTCCTTGGTGATCGAGGTAGCAGTAAATATACATAACAGAAGCAATAGCATCCTCCTGATTGAGTCAAACACTATTCTATCGGACCCACCTCCTGCCTCACCCTAAAAACGTAATCAGAGGAGACCAGACAGGCAAAAAGATACTTTATTTTATGTGACTGGTGTTATCCTTAGAGAACCATAAGAAATGTAGCAAAAGATAACTTTTAAACGAACTTTAACTCAGATGAGTGTATTCAGTGGCAAATTGCCTTATTGCCTTGGATAACTACATGGAATTTGGAATTTTTTAGAGAATGCTGAAAAGTAAGAAAGAGATAACAATCAGAAAAAATCATTGTGCCTATCGCATAATGATTATTTCACAGTGACAGTCCAATAAGATTTTATATTTTAATATTATGCAAAATGGGAGGAAGAGGGTAACAAGAAGAGAACAGCTACAGCCCATTTCAATTTCTCTAGCCTGCCATGTTGACAGGAAAAGAATAAAGGAGGTCACAGTGGGTGCTGTGCATTAAAAATTAATAAAAGAACTATTGCAGTAGTATTTTATATAAGTAACACCATTCACATTTTCTCATTTAAGTTGCAATTTCTGAATATTCCTTCCTACCATAAGTCTGCCTAATAAAATCTATAAAATGACTGCATTATGAAAAGTCTGTCTCTCATGTCACAAATTTGAAACATGTAGGTAGCGTAAATTACAGTGGCACCTGCTTGCTGTAAGTGAGGACGTACCAGCATTTCTGTGGTTTATAATTCTAAGTGGACCTGAGGAAAAGTTCTTTCTTTATTTTATTTATATAAATGTGTGTGTAAGTATAAATTTATTTTTTTCCTGAAGTTTTACATGCATCAGGGGAGGGAGAAAACAACATTTTAGGACGCACCGTCACCTATGACGTGAATCTGGTTGTAAGGGGAGGGAGAAAACAACATTTTAGGATGCACCGTTACCTATGACGTGAATCTGGTTGTTTAAAAATATGAAAAATGCTGGAAGTGCTGTTGATTTATTATGTTTTGAAAGAGCATAATGTAACAGACAAATATATAAAGGTGTCTGGCTGACAGTTGTCGTCACTAGGTCCCAATCCCACAACTCCTGGAACAAAAGAAAGCCACAGAGCAAATAAAGTCAATAGGCTCAGCAGCATGTTGCGATACTTTCTGCTCGGCAGACATATATAGAAGTATACAAATTTACAAAGGCAGGAAAGCAATTTTAAATCTAGAAGACAAAATGTGGGTGAGCATGTTGTCTTGTCAGAGCAAGGGGCAGGATGACCATTCTTCTGAGGTCTGTTCCTGTCCGTGCCATGGCTGAGACTCATGGCCTGCAGCCAGACACTTGACCTTTCTGTGCTTTTTTTTTCCCCTGTCTGTGGAATGGCAGTAACACCACTTACATGCCTACAGGCTTGCTGGGAAGTGCTCTGTGGTCCTGGCATGAAAGTTGCTTCATAGCGTAATGTATTTGATTTCTATTTTCATGTGCGTAAACTTCTTGTTTTATTTTATTATCTGATAGAGTCAGTGAGTTTTTGGTGGTTTTTTTCCAAATAATTCCTCTCAAGAGAGACTTAATTTTTTAAGTGAATGTCAGCACTATTATAGAATCAATAAATCTGGTCCATTTTCCGTGTGTTCTACCATAGCACGGCTGGTTTATCGTGTTCTCTCATGCCCAGACCTAGAGCAGATATAGTGCATAGCCAAGCCGAATCTGGATTTTTCCATATGCACAGATTCTGGAATAGCAGTGACGCTCACATGATACATAGGTGCAGTGAGTGAGGCAGGAGTCCCAGTGCTGCATGACTGTGGGTGAGGTGGGAGCTGGCAGCTGGCCCCAGCCCTGTGGAGGTCTCAGCACAGGGTCCTCTTAGTGAGATGAGCTGGTGAGGTCTGAAATGTACTTTGGCTCAATGCTGGTGACCCTCAGCATCACCCGGCTGGTAATGAATTGCTTGCAGTGGCATATATCTGAAGTGCTGGGTTAAGCTGTATTTTAGATCAGTCTGGACTTGCTTATCATTTTTCCCCTTCTCTTTGCACACACATCACAGGAAACTCCCTCTACCTCCAGTAGCATTGCCTGCCAGTTACAGGGATGTTCTGTCTGGAAGGGTGGTTGTGCTCCAGAGAGCGAAAACCAGAATCTTCTGTGCTTAGGACCCACCATCAGCCGCAGGGACGTGTTCCTGCCTTGGTGTTACATAGAGAAACATGCCCTGTCTCAGCACTCTGCCTTTCCATTCGTCCCAAGAGCCTCAGTGGAGGCTGCAGCATGCAGGAGGTGGTGGCTCCCAGACGATGAAGGTGAGCCAGCCCAGAACATCAGCCCCTCACACTTGAAGATGAGGCCACGGGCCAGCCCCTCTCTCTGTTTGCTGACCCATGGCAGTGACTGGGTCATGCAACGAGAAAGTTGCTCTCTTGAAGAACAGATGTTCTCCAGGAGTTTATAAATTTGCTGTGTGCACACATTCCTTAATACCTTGCAGGTTTCTTTCTCCAGGTGAGTGCATACTCACTCCTCTGAGTTTGATGCAGGTTTCCAACAAAAAGCAAATAGTGAGGGTGCGTTAATGCCCTGGCCTAGCAGCAGCCTGACGTTTTGATTTACAGACTTCCCTTTTCTCCAGTGTTCAAAAATGCACTCCTACATGGCCATGTACTGAAGAAATGTTTTCCGTGTAAAATTTCCCCTTGGCCTCCTCTTTCTTTCTCTTGTTTCTCTTACTTTCTGCAGAAGTAGCTACATGCAGTAGGTTCATCCTTCATTTTTCCAGATAAAAGAGACATTGAAACAGCATTTTTTTCTTGTAGTTCCTTTTAAATTACTAAGTGACAGGTAGTTTCCTATGGTTTGTGTAACATACATAAAAATAATAATACAGAAAAGCTTATTAACATCGTTGCCAGGTCCTGAGATGTTTTGAGAACATACATATGTCTCTGCTTTTTTAAAACATTTTTTACAAAATCTTTCAAAGGAGGAGAGACTTAATGAGATTACTTTGAAACCTCCATTTAGCTTCAAGTTGTCACAGTCAGTGTTTCCTTGCCAGCCAGTGCTCAGGCAGTGACCTTCCTGTTTTGATCTAATTTGATCAGCTGAAAATTGCTAAGCTGCAAGAGGCATCATTGTTTCCGCCTTCCTACCCTCCTGTTTCTTGGGAGGTTTTGACAGGGAAGGATCCCAGTATCCCAGGTGGATGTTTGACCACTAGACTGTAGGATTAGTCTCTCTCTCTCTTCTCCACTTCCCTGCAAATATTGAATTATTGATACAAAGTGAAACAGCTCTCACCGGATACACACTCATACGAGCACAACCTGCTGACCTGCACACAAGCCTGACTTGGGAGAGCCAAGTTTAAATCCCAGGTGTGACCCCAGGTCCCAGTTGGGTCCCCTGGATTCCAAGTTTACCTTCCAGCTATTGAGCATTGTAAAATATCTCTGTTTTTTCTTCTCCTTTTGCCTCTATCCTGGTGCCAAAAAATATTTTCTTCTCCTTTTGCCTCTATCCTGGTGGCAAAAAAATATGTGGAGGAAAAAATCACTTTAGTTTTGACAAATTGTTGTTTTCCTTAGAAAATTAATTTCTGATTGACACCATGAAGCCTCAGATGAGCCCAAGGGCTATGGTAGCCCTACAGATTTCTGTGGCCCTATTACATGAGAGGACATTGTGCTTAGAGGATCCCTGTCTTCATCCATTTTTTAGAATAAATTTACAGGAACTGCCCATTACTCAAAAAGTGACAATGTCCTAATGAAGCCTATGAAATATGGTTAAGGAAATAAACCTTTATGATGAAAGAAAGATACTAAAATTAGGATATGGTTTCCCAAACTGTATAACTATTGTGTGTTTGCAGGATTAGAGGCATAGTTTGATTTCTGTTAAGGAGCTTTTAGAATGGAGCTAGCAGTATTTCTGTTTTGAGAATGCAGAATACATGAGATTTTACCCTGAGTTCTTCCTATACATGTGCAATGCAGAGTATTTGTTTCTTAAAAAGAGGCTAGTGCTGGGGGTTTTTTAATCATCACAAAGAACAATGACCTCTGGCTCTGAAAGAAATGTTTTAGTTTGTATAAATTTTGAAAATAATTTATAATCCTGCAATACCGGAATAAGATGCCAGGTTTCCCCAAGAAATGTTAATATGCTGTCAGCCGCTGTGTGCTTCTCAAAGATTTCTTTCCCTTAAATGTATTTTAAATTTTTTTTTTAAAGA